ATTGCAAAAGTCAGTGGTCAAGTTACATATATTATTCTCTTAATTTACCGATAACTAAACACACCATCCATTGTTCAACATTAATATATACATTGCTGTTGTTGGGCTTATTAACACTTAAATGCCCCAAAATCCCTTCCACAAGATTTCAATTCAATTTTGGCCAGCCTCTCAGGATTTTATTTGTTTCAATTAGATTGCCTCTCATTCTTCTACACTTTAATGGATGCAGACCCAGCCTGTCCATCCTTTCTCCAAAAAGTAATGACTCAGTCCAGGGATCAGTTGAGTGAATTTTCTCTGAACTACTTTTTACGCATTTATATCCTTATCCAATGGCAGTAACACACAGTTACAACTTGAATCTTTCACACAATTCAGATTACAAGTCCAAATAAAAGAGACATGTACAAGTTATGACTAAAGATAGATACTGGGATAACTGCAAATGTTATACCACTGCAGATACTCAAAAGACCTTTACCTGATAAGTGGGAGTCTATATCAAAGGCAAAAAGAACTGGAATCCCTGCATATTGTTTCATCGTTAATCGAACTTCATCTGGGAGAATTGACACTGATGTGCAATTATGGAAGTTCTGCATGGTCTTTAGGAGTTTTCTGTGTTGTTGACACCTTTGGTTCAGGACTACCAGCAGGCATCGCACTTGGGTTCTTGATGGTTCATAACACAAGTGAAACACCAATGCTAGATGGTCAACACAAGCATGACCCTGTTCAATCTATTCGAGAACTACGGGAGAAATACTTTGAGCAGGTTACTCAATCCCAAGAAGACGGATGTTCAGTAGATGAAGTTAATGTGGAACTTGAACAACAGTGACCTAATGTGATTTGGACAGTGAAAACAGAAAACAGTTCCATGGAGAGATTTACCCTTCCAGCGATCCTGTTCTCATGACATTATGGTATTATAAGTGGAGTGTCAGTTACACTACTAAAGGTACACCCTGTCGTCATTGGGCTCTGGGTGTTTGAGGCAGAGTGCTGCCATTGGTCATCCTTTCTAAATTGGGTATAAGGGCATGCTGAGATATCTGTGGCAGAGGATAGACGGCTGGGGAGTCTTAACAAGAAGATGCACTTGTCTTGCAGGACCAAGGTAGTTTATTTCATGATAAAGCTAGGCACAAATAACATTGACTAGCTGGGCATAATGTAGGGCATAAGACTATCAGGAACCTGGTATGTCACTTCTCGTGATGTAACTGGGTAATGATATCTTGATAACACAGTGTGGAGCTGGATGAACACAACAGGTCAGGCAGCATCCGAGGAGCAGGAAAGTTGACATTTCGGGTCGGGACCCTTCTTCAAAAATGGGGGAGGCGGAAGGGAGCTCAGAAATAAAGAGAGAGAGAGGTCCTGGAGGTCCTGCAAAAATGAGTGTCGAAAGTGGAGGGATACCACATACTTGGTGGGGTGCATACGATGTTGTCAGGTGAATATGGTATGAGTGAAAATGTGTTGTGGGGGGGGGGGTGGGGTGAGGGGGGTAGGGTGTTGTGGGGTGCGTATGGTGTAATGAGGGGTGTATGGGGCTTTGGAGGACAGGTGCTGTGCTGGGAAGGAATATGTGGTGTACAATTGTTTTGTTTCATTATCAGTTGGGGTAATAACAATTGGGATTTGCATCCTTCTTCTTGAAGTCAAGAGTTACGGGGTAAGTAGGTCAAATTCCTGCCCCCAACGCCTTCTTGGACTTTCAGCTTTTATAAAGAACAAAATCACACAGACATAACATTTGGCTCAACCACAAACTTTTTTTCTTTGAAATAAACTGCCTAATGTCCCGATTTTAAAAAAAACTCTAGGGTCTAGGCCCAAAACGTCAGCCTTTCTGCTCCTATGATGCTGCTTGGCCTGCTGTGTTCATCCAGCCCTGCACCTTGTTGTCTCGGATTCTCCAGCATCTGCAGTTCCTACTATCTCTAAAATAAATTGCCTTGATTGGTTTGTTCAATTTAAAACTGCCCATAATTTACCCTTGGCCCCCAACCAAAACACACAAAGTCCTCTGAATCTGATTGTTATTTATAGAATACCATAACCTCTCAGTCTGAATATCCCCAGGATTTGGATGATAACTAACAATTCAAGGTTGGTCTTTCCACTAAGAACTATAGATCCATGAGCCAGGTTGACCATTCCTGACCATTCTTCTGACTGCAAACTCCTCCAAACCAAGTTCACTATGATTTAACTGGAACATTTACAATTCTCAACATGGCTGGCCTGTCCAGCATTGATTATAGGCCTGAGTCAGAATGACCAGTCCTGACTCATCTTCCAACTGCAGTGAAGTTGCTTCAATTTTGTCTTTTTCTGTAGTTATTCATATCAAGCATATCACACTGCATCAAACATTTTCCTGTTAATTAGGATTTCTGAGAACTAATCCTCCTTAAAGTTTTTTCACACAGTTCATCCAGGTAGGGTCAGTTAAACAGTGCAGTCCTTTTCCATGAAAATAACATTCTGGATGACTGGGTCAGTTCACAATAATTCTAAATATCTCTCCTACTATTTGGAGATGACATGGCAACAGCACCTAGACCTCAAGTGAACAAAGGTTTGAATGATCCATTCCTCCTCTTATTTGGAACACGTTGTAGTATTAGAAGTCTCGTTTGAAAAGGTAACTGGACAGAGGAAGTGGCCAAAAGAGATTCTGACCTCAATTTTACAGAGGGTTTTGACAGACACAGGTATGATTGCATACATCGTTTTGTCAGAAAGAAAATCTGTGGAGCATGAAATTGTCAGAGCAATACTGAATCTTATCAGTTGAACTGAAGAAGAGTTTAAAAACCGAAAGAATTGCGGATGTTGAGTTCTGAGGAAGGGTCACCGGACCTGAAACGTTAATTCTGTTCTTTCCTTCACAGATGCTGCCAGACCTACTGAGCTTTTCCAGTGACTTTGTTTTTGTTCCTGAAGAAGAATTTATTTAGTGTAGAAACTTTAGTTATGAAGAAGAATCATACTGGACTCAAAACATTATTTCTGCACAGATGCTGCCAGACCTGCTGAATTTTCTTCTGCATTCTCTGTGTAGGTAATTCTTGTAGATTGGAAATAAGCTTATCTTTTAGGTGAATACAGGATTCTCTTTAGAACTATTTTTCAAGAACACTTGGACTTGAGGCGGGTCTGGATGTTGGCTTGCTAAGTTGCTTGTTGTTCTCTGTTCTGATATTTTAAACAGATTGAGATAAGGGTTCAGATTTTATAATGAAAAATTTTCAAGGGCAGGTCATATGACAGGCTCACTAAGGTGTCAGTTTCAACTTATTAATTAATATGTCCCCATCTGAAGAAGGGCCTTTTGTTTACCTTAGGGACTGGATGGGGCTATTAGCATCTCTACAACTATAACAAAGATTTGGTGATTTTCACTTTTTTAGTGAAAATCAGAGACTAAAGGTCTATATTTCTGAAGAAGGGTCCCAACCCGAAACGTCAGCTTTCCTGTTCCTCTAATGCTGCCTGGCTGGCTGTGTTCCTCCAGCTCCACACTGTGTTATCTCAGACTCCAGCATCGGCAGTTCTTACTATCTCTGAAGTCTATATTGTTAATGTCTTGATGTGCTTGCAGTATTCCTGCAATCATAAACATGAAATTCCACAAGGGTGCTGGGTTAGCTTTGTCTGGAATTTTCTAGCACTGTAGCAAATGTGATTTGCAGCAGCAATTTTAGTCCACCAAAGTTTGTTTTGGAAATTAAACAAGAAAGTGTATATATATATATTAATATATTTAAAATTGTGTTCTCATTCATGTCTTATCAACATGAAGGAGCATGATGACCTAGCACTGGAAAGCCACAAACTGTGCAGTCCAAAATGATTCAGCCACGTTGGAATGAAAAAGATGACAGCAATCCACACACTCCCACTCAACCTTAATATGCAAATTCTAGAATTTCTTTCAAGTCATTGCTCTGAGATAACTAAAGGTTTTATAGTATACCAGAGGCAACATTTCAGGTGAAGGGTCTAGGCCCGAAACGTCAGCCTTTCTGCTCCTATGATGCTGCTTGGCCTGCTGTGTTCATCCAGCCCTGCACCTTGTTGTCTCTTATTTCAGGTCAGACAATGCATTTTCGGTGTGAGGTCTTGTTTCGAATCTGGCTGTATATCAACTTAGAATCAGAATGGTTTTATTTCCAAAGTAGGAATTTATAAAATGCCACTGACCAGTCTGACTCCAAGTCGATACACAGCCACAGTCTAAACAAGGCCTCACACCTAAAATGCATTATCTGACCTGAGATGTCACTTCTGGTATATTGATAAAACCTTTAGTTTACTCAGGGCAGTGACTTGAAAGAAATTCTGGATTTTGCATATTAATCCCTTTTAACTAACTGAAGATTCACCAGCCATTTTAGGTTTGTTCAACACATTCTATAACTCCTTGATCTTTTGCTTATAAATTCTGGTTCTGATTCCATCCGTCACACTGACATCTGAAAAAGGAGCGAGACTCTGAAAGCTTGTGTTTTCAAATAAACCTGTTGGACTATAAAATGGTTTCAGAGATAGTAGGAACTGCAGATGCTGGAGAATCTGAGATAACAAGGTGTAGAGCTGGATGAACACAGCAGGCCAAGCAGCATCAGAGGAGCAAGAAGGCTGACGTTTCGGGCCTAGACCCTTCTTCAGAAAAGGTCTAATAAAAGGATTATAAAATGGTGTCGTGTGATTTTTGACCCTGTCCACCCCAGGCCAACATCGGCATCTTCATATCATTCCACAAGGAGGAATTTGCTGTCGTAGTGCAACAGGCGGACCTTGGCGCTGCAGTGCCGGGCTGCGTCCATCGGGAGGACACTAGCGCTGCAGTGCCGGGCTGCGTCCACCGGGAGGACCTTGGCGCTGCAGTGCCGGACCGTGTCCACCGGGTGGACCTTAGCGCTGCAGTGCCGGGCTGCGTCCACCGGGAGGACCTTAGCGCTGTAGTGCCGGTCAGTCCGTGGTCCAGTTGTTGTTGTGGTGGTTGTCATGGGCGGCCAGTCAGTAAGCGGTTTTCGGCCTGGTTTTGTGGTGGTGTTGTAGATGGGCTATGTGCCAGTGAAAAGGGCCCAGGGTCGGCCTGCACCGGTGTCCAGTGAAAGGATCGGGCCGAGGTCTGACTGAAGGAGGAGCCTGGGATTTGCTAAGGTTTATCTGCACCCTGACACTTTTGTGCCGGGCCTGGAGGGCAGGCAGACTGAGGGCGGTAACGCTGTTCCAGGCGGAGAGCCTGCTCCAAGTTAATGGATCGGCACCATTTCATTGTGGGAGCAGGCAGGCAGTCAGGGGATGGATTTGGTATCATCAGAGGGTGGTAAGTGAACAGTTGTTGTATCCAAAATGATGTTTACCTGGGAATGATTACAATCCAGCCATTTAATCCAAGGTATTCTGAGATTTTAAATGCTGAGCACGACCTGTACACTGTGGACAAGTTTTCTAATTTACAGCAGCGTCTCTATCAGTTGTTTGTAGTATTCAATTTATGTGAACATTTTCAGTACTGTTTGATTAATTTGCTTGTGGTTCAGGAAACGTACAGAGACAATTTTTGGCTCGTTTAACAGAGAGTTAAGCCTGGGCCAATGGCAAAGGTGCAGCAAGATTAGGGAGTGCACTAGTGAAGGGTTCGGAGGGAGAGAAGTGTACTTGACAGTGGAAAGGTGAAAGGAGGCATGACTAATAGAAGAGTCTCTAGGAAGGATAAAGAGAAAACCAGTTTTAATATGATCTGAAGTGATAATAGTTTGATGGACTTGGGTCAGGAGTGCCTAGGGGAGCACAAGTTGCATAGCTTTATTTTGATGAAAAAGAACCTGGACAAAAGAGCTGAATTCCAGAGGCGAGGTGATAGTGACAGCCATTGACATCGAGGCTGCATTCGACTGTGTGTAGCATCAAGGAGTCTTAGCAAAACTGGAATCGATAGGTATCAGGGGGCAAACTCTCTGGTGGTTGGAGTCATACTTGACACATAGGAAGATGGTCGTGGTTTTTGGAGATCAGTCATCTCAGCTCCAGGACATCTCTGCAGGAGTTCCTCAGGGTAGTATCCTAGGACCCAACCATCTTCAGCTGCTTCATCAATGACCTTCCCTCCATCATAAGGTCAGAAGTGGGGATGTTTGCCGATGATTGCACAATGTTCACCACCATTCATGACTCCTCAGATACTGAAGCAGCCCATGTCCAAATGCAACAAAGTCTGGGCTGACAGGTGGCAAGTAACATTTGTGCCACATAAATACCAGGCTATGACCATCGCCAATAAGAGACAATCTAACCACTGTCCCTTGCCATTCAGTGGTGTTACCATTCCAGACCCTCCACTATCAACATCCTGGGAGTAATAATTGATCAGAAACTCAACTGGACTCACCATATAAATGCAATGGCTACAAGAGCAGGTCAGAGGCTAGGAATACAGTGGTGAGTAACTCATCTACTGACTCCTGAAAGCCTGTCCACCTTCAACAAGGTGCAAGTTAGGAGTGAGATGGAATACTCCCCACTTTCCTGGATGAGTGTAGCCCCAATAACACTCAAGAAACTTGACACCATTCAGGAAAAAGCAGCCCACTTGATTGGCACTGCATCCACAAGCATCCACTCCCTCCATCACCACTAGTCAGTAGCAGCAAGTGTACTATCTACAAGATGCACTGCAGAAATTCACCAAAGATCCTCAGACAGCAAAGCTGTGACCACTTTCATCTAGAAGGACAAGGGCAGCATGTATATGAGAACACCACTACTTTCAAGTTCCCTTTCAAGCCACACACCATACTGACTTAGAAATATATCACTGTTCCTTCACTATCACTAGGTCAAAATCCTGGAATTCCCTCCCTAATGGCATTGAGAGTTAACCCACAGTAGGTGGACTGCAGCGGTTCAAGAAGACAGCTCAATGCTACCTTCTCAAGGTCAAGTAGGGAGGGCAATAAATGCTGACCCAGCCAACGATGCCCAGATCCCACAAAATGAATCAATAAAATAGAATTGAGTGAATGAAATGAGGTGACAAGAGGCAGGCCTGATATGATTAATCAGGTGGAATTAAAAGCTGAGAATCACTCTTGTCTGTCCCCGGAGCCCAAAGCCACATTAACACGTCTTTCCTGCAGCTTGATCACAACTTTTCAATCAGTGATTATCCGAGTGCTCTCCTCTTTTCAACCTTCCCAGTTGCAGTTTTTCTTCCTCCTTTGCTTTCTCCTCCCTCTCACAATGTTTCTTTTGAGTTTACCTCATGGAATATTTTAAGCCATGCATGCTACCAACTACTACCTCTCCACAACTGGACAAGTGTTAACAGGCAGATGGTAGATGTGATGCCAAATTTAGAAGAAGGGGAGATAGAAGGTAATTTTTTGAAGTTGATGAATGTGTTGACCGGAAGAAAATGGGCAACAAGGCAGAAATACATAAGAAGCTACATTCCATCCACTTTCCAGCTCAGAAACTCAGACAATGCTGAGACACTCCATGGACAGACCATAAGACAAATGAAGAGATGCTTGAAACTCCAAGAGCCAAAAGAACTTAAGTGCCATCCAGAAAAGAAAATGTTTATATTTCAGCAATTTGACTTGAACTGAGAAGTTGTGGAGCTCTTTGCAAGAGGGCAAGGTGGAGGGCAGCAGAAAGCAGGGTCAGCCTATATGTACTTGATAAAGGATGTCACGTAGTGGTTGCAGAAGAGTTACGGTGGATTTGAAATGATGACACAAGACAACTAAGTGTGATATACTATGACACAAGATCTCCACTTGGGAGTAGCTGAAAGCAGCAAAGTGAGAAACAATTTGTTTTAAATGGTGAACAGATTTATTACTTTACAATTCACAGATTTTTAATTGTAAAAAACTACAAGTGAAATTAATAATACAACTTATTTTTAAACCACCTCAACTATCAATCTCCCTCCTGGGATTCCATTCCTTCTTCACCACAATACTGTCTCCAAGTTCTTAAATATAGGTTTCACCTGTCAATATTCAATTAATTTATAATGATTCTTGGACTGTCACCTCGAGTTCACAAGAGGGGTCTCATCATGTTCAGAGGCACCTTACCTCAGCCTGATTATATTTGAGGTTACTAAGAGATTGCTGAGGGATTTTGCTCAGTTTTTCAGTAAACAAAACACTCAAGCTGAAAAATCATAAGTTGCTTTCTCTACGTTTTCTGTGAATTAGAAGCTCAGTCTTCTTTGTGCTTTCACTTCTGAGCTTGTCAAATTGAAACAAAAGAGTCTTGTCTGAGCCATTGCTACCAATTCAACTTGTCTTATGTCAAATAAGTAAAATACAAGTTACAATATAAAACTAACAAATTCCTCTGTCTCTAGTAGCTTATTGATTATAGTGCTGAAATTAAAACGAGGTCATGACTACCAATGTCACTGTGTAAATTTAAAATTGGATTCAGTAAATCTGGTAATTTGTGGACGAGTGTGTTACCTTGTTTCCTTACTTTTTCTTCTATACCTACATTAACTTCTTAAAAATGTTTAGTATACATAGGTTTTTGTTTCCACTGGTGGTGCACATCCACACATTACCTTGATATTTGCGTACGTAACAAAACTCATTTCACATATGGATGAAAAGAAAGGAAACATTGGTCCAGAGTTAAAGTAGCGGAGGATGTAAGGATGAGGTCTTTTTGCAGGAATGATGATCTGGGAGGCGTACAGACACAGTTATAGGACAGGAAAATGATAATGAAGCTAGAGAATATCATAAAATGCAAAAGCAGTAGAGGATTTCTCTTCTGATATTCTGACTAGGAATGGCCTGAAGTGGAAAAACCAGTAGCCAAACACCCATTCGGCTTCTTTTATCTCCTCTAAAGGCTCACCTTTCCACTCCTGCATCATTAGCTCTACCCCACACGCTGACAAAGATTTATTTTTGCCTCTTCCTACTCTTCACCTAAATGCTGCTCCTTGGTGACCCTATACCTAAACATTTAAGGCAGCACGGTGGCTCAGCGGTTAGCACTGCTGCCTCACAGTGCTAGGGACCGGGTTCAGTTCCACCCTCAGGCCACTGTCTGTGTGGAATTTGCACATTCTCCCTGTGTCTGCCTGGGTTTCCTCCAGGTGCTCTGGTTTCCTCCCACAGTCCAATGATGTGCAAATTAGGTAGATTGACCATGCTAAATTTCCCATAGTGTTCAGAGATGTGCAGGCTAGGCAGATGCCTAGCCAAGGGAAATGCGGGGTTACAGGGATTAGGTGGGATGCTCTATGGAGGGTTGGTGTGGACTTGATGGGCTGAATAGTCTACTTCCATGCTGTTGGGATTCTATGATTGTGTTATTTTCCTACATATACAGATAACACTGATTTCCACCCCTCCCTACAATCTCTGTTCCATTAATCTGCAGCCCTAGTTGTTCTAGATGGTAGAGGTTATCAGTTTGGAAGGTGCTTTTGAAGGAAACTCGGTGAGTTACTAACTGCAGAATTCCAAGCATCTAATGTGCTCTTATAGCCAGAGTATTTATATGTCTCCTCCAGTTCAGTTTCTGTTCAATGTTAATCCTAGGATAAGATTGAGCAATAGTAAAACCATTGAATAGAGATGATCATGGCCTGGCACTTGAATGGTGTAGCTTTGTATTTCACATTTAATAATTAATTAATCATTTAAATTTATTAATGTGGCCAGAATGTTGATTTGGACCTCCGATTCCTGCCCCAGTAACATTACCACAATGCCATTCCCACTCTCAATACACTACCTAACAATTGTTTATAGTACTTCCAGAGTATATAAGTATAGGTGGGGATTCTAGCATCAAGTTTCTATTACAGGCATTTTAATAAAACTATGATGGCTGTAGTCTACTCATTCTTTCAATAGATCTTTCACATAAGTTCATACTGTTATACATTGGAGTCATTTCGACAAAGTCATCTAACTGCATCCAAAGCAAGTCATAAACTCGTTGCACGTCCATCTATTTTTCTGTTGCATTTATTGCCCAACTTTGAAATATCACCATACACGTATGATCAAAAATGGATACAATGAAAGTGACGATATAGGGTGGGAAAATTACATTTGAGAGGCATAGAGCAAAGAAAGACTTGCATTTATAGAGCACTATCAAGTTCTTAGGATGTTTCAAGGCACTTTGCAGCCAATTAATTACTCTGAAAGTGAAGGGATTAGTCTACAAAGCAACAATGTGGCAGCCAGTTGGTGCGCAGCAAATGTTTGTAAAAAGCAGCAAGGTATCTTTGATAGTAATGATCAAGAACTAATTTTGACCAGGTAGCCAAGAAAGTTCCCTTGCGCTTCTTTGAGTAGAATCTTTAACATCACAAAGTCTTTCCCTAAAAGATGGTACCATCAGCAATGGTACAGATTTTCTGTCAGCAGTGAATGAATTATGTTCCCTGTTCAACTCACTGGCCACAGAATTCCTGCTAACTTGTCCATGAAGATTTCCTCTGATGTGGTAACTTTTTCAGCACAGTGCCTTCAATTAGAATCTGTGACTGCTGTACACTAATCTAATTGACGTATCCACATTGAGATGCAAAGAGTCCAAACAAGCAAGCATTAAATATAATTTAGGTCTAAATGATGCACAGAAAGTAAAAACACATTGGTACTTAATTCCAATTAACCAGAGATAAAAGAAAGATAAAAAAAAAATTAAAGAAACACAATCTGCCACAGTAATGTTTGTCTGAGGGAATGAGATTCTACACCAGTAAAACAAGTTGTTCAGCTACATTTAGTATATTGCTAAACACCAACGAAATTGTGAAGATACCGACTTTCACTTCTTTTTAGAGCTCTCTTTAATGCACAACTAGTGGTCAGATACAGTAAGATCACACAATTGCAATAACTTCAATGATGAATCTATTGGTGAGGATGTCAACAGCACACCCTGTAAAGCAACTGTGTATCTCTGACAGCACCTTATAAGTTTCCACGCTTAACTCTGCTGTCAGATTCTGCCCATTATAATAGTAAGTGCTGATAGTTTGACTCTTTTTCTTATCTCAGTCAGTGTTACACTCCCTCAGTACTCCACTGAAGTGTCAACTAACATTAAATATGACTTGTACCAGTTTAGAGGCAGGGAATTCAAGTGGAACCACTGACGACATGCTGATGAAGATCTGCCATACATCAGTAGCAAAGCGATCCCATATCTTAGGTCTTTTTAGCCACTGCTTTTAAATCTTTTGCTGTTATTCTCAAATTAATATAAAATTGAAAAGGTGATGGACTTCAAAGACAAGTAACCATAAAGATCAGAGCACAATGACACCATTTGGAAATAATTTATGGAGGAAATGGAACAAGGAGCACAACTTTTAGAAAGCTTCATAGTAATACTGTCCTTCCAATCTGCTACATTTAAAGTCTTTTGTCAGTTTAAGAATACTCAAACGATTTGAAAGAAATTGTCATAGAAAGCAGACTATAAATATTGGCTTGATATTTTCAGTGAGCTTTTGTTGGTCCAAAATTTAACTCTTCTTTTCAGTGATGTCTCTAAATTTCTGGCACTACCATCAGTCTCTTATGTGCAAAATTGTCTGTACAGTCTCCCTCACTTCCCTTGTGTATAGATTGTATTTATCTCCACTGCTGTACAAAACAGATCATGTGTTCCTTCTTACAATTAAACTTTGCTTATGTAAAAGAGAAATGTTTCCCTTTTCCCTAATAATTTGTATAATTCAGATTCTTCAAGCAATTGTACCACATTTTAGCAGAGTTTTATTTAGCTGTATTTTATTCCTTGTTTTAGTTGTTTAGTTGAACTGTCAGTGCAGTTCTGAGCATAATAGAACCATTAAGAACCAGTCCATTTGTTTTTCCAGTTTACTGAAGATTAAAGTATTTATTTCAATCTTACTCTGTAGGTTGAGGATTAGATAGATAAAGGATACAGGAATTCCCAATGACCTAGTTTATGGAATTCTCAGCTTTTAACAATAGTCCAAATAACAACCTAATTAAATTAGAAACCACAAGAATCTCGGAAGAAAATGAAAAATAAACTGGTTTAAAAAGTATAACAAGGTATTGATGAAGAATGTAATGTCAGACAGTGGGAAAGTATTGAGTGAAGGACCACAAAGATTGTTCCTTGATTTTGATTGTTTCAAATTCAAGTCAATAAAATGAACACTGAATTCAAAGGCATATTGCAATTAGGCTAACGAGCGAAAAATCGAAATTACTACAGATGAATATGAAATATTATGTTTAAAAATGCATCCAGATATATGATAAATTGGAAAGCAGTGTGGAAATAATAGTAGACAAATCACTTTTAATTTTAAGACTATATAAGGAAGCATTACAGGGCATGGTAAAGTATTCGAGACCTTCTAGCCAGACAATTAGAAAATAAATCTGAAGAAATTGTGGTGAAGTTTTGTAACTGTTGATCAGGCAATAGTGAAGGACACATATTGTTTGATTTCAACCATCATATCAATGAAAGATGTTCGTTTTCATAAGAAATAGGGGCAGAATTAGGCCATTTAGCCCGTCGAGTCTGCTCCGCCATTCAATTATGGCTGATATGCTCCTCACCCCAACTTTCCTGCCTTCTCCCCATAATCCTTCAACCCATTACCAATTAAAAATCTGTCTAACTCCTTAAATTTACACACTCTCCCAGCATCATCGCACTTTGGGGTAGTGAGTTCCACAGATTCCCCACTCTTTGGGAGAAGTAGTTTCTCCTCTATTCTGTTTTAGATTTGCTATCCCTTATCCTAAGACTATGACCTCTCATCCCTGAATGCCCCACAAGTGGGAGCAGCTGCTCCACATCTATTTAATTCATACCTTTTATCATCTTGAATACCTCCATTTGATCTCCCCTCATTCTTCTAAATTCCAGAGAGCATAGGCTTAAGCTGTTCAATCTCTCTTCATACAACAAACCCCTCATCTCTGGGTTCAATCTAGTGAACCTCCTTTGAACTGCCTCCAATGCCACCACATCCTTCCTCAAGTAAGGGGACCAAAACTGTACATAGTATACCAGGTGCGGTCTCACCAATACTTCCTTATCTCTCTATCTATTCCTTTAGCTATAAAAGCCAACATTCCATTCGCTTTCTTTTATTATCTGCTGTACCTGCATGCTAGTTTTCTGTGACTCATGGACGAGGACACCCAGATCCCTCTGCACTGGAGTACGCCGAAGTCTCTCCCCATTTAGAAATAGGTTTTGAAGAATTGTCAGGGCCAAAACCAAGTGTGAAAGGAATGAGAATCAGCAAGTTCTGCTGAATCTTGAACTTAAAGAGTATGGACAAAGACCAGTTAACCTCAAGAAATTACTTCAAATGTTGAATGGGATGGACAAAGTAAATCTAAATTATTGCTTGAAAGTTTGCTGAAATTGAAACTAAATGGAAAATTAATGAAATTAGTAGAGATATTGGTAATAAGTATTTGAAATAATCTATCGAACAGTTTCGTGGAACCAAACAATCTGTATTATCCTAAGCATAAAAAGTGTATTTTAGATGACAAGTTTAGTAGTTTAGATGACCTTTTCTTATTTCTCGCCAGTTTCAATCTTGGAAACCTGTGAATTGATATACAAGCTGGTATGCTAAATTTAATTAAAGTGCAAAATAAAAGCAAAGACAGCAATTTCTATCTATAAAAACATTTTTAATGTAATGTCCCAAGTTTAAAAAAAAGATTGTCAGTTTCTTGGAGATAAAATCAGGTTTAAATTGCAACTAATTATCAATAACATTTCTTTCACTACAGAAACATTTTTGAATTGATTACATTGGAAAACTATTAATTTAAAGAAACTGATCGACATAATGCCATTAATGTAGGTTCGAATATTTTGTAACTTACCTTTACTTCCAAGATTGGGATATGGAATATTTTGTAATTATCTTTTTTTTAATGTTTGCAGAGAACACACATGCGATGGCTTACATCTGAAAACATGCGGCATCAATGCTTGCTGCTGGCTGTGTGTGGATGGGCAGTTTTCATGTTGCTGTTTGTCAGTAAATTTATTACTTTAAGTCTCAGAGATAAAGAAGGTAGGTCAGAAGTGAATCATTATTTGTTGTTGCTTTCAGGATAATCAGCCTTTGGGATTTATCACATATGGTCGTAATTTGGTAATAGCAGCAATTGTACTGTCATGAATTATTGTATTTTCCTCCTTCTCCAAAGGTGAGTGCAGGTAGGCAGTCTGCACTCACTTATCACCATCCCACCTACCTTCCCCAGCCCCACCCCTCCTCTCTCTATTTATTTCGGAGCTCCCTTCCCCCTCCCCCATTTCTGAAGAAGGGTCCCGACCCGAAACGTCAACTTTCCTGCTCCTCTGATGCTGCCTGGCCTGCTGTGTTCCTCCAGCTCCACGCTGTGTTATCTCTGACTCCAGCATCAGCAGTTCTTACTATCTCTGACCACATCATCTGAGTTGCCTGAAGTAAGTGCTTTGACATTCTGGACCTCTTATCAGTTCAACTTTTAAACTCGCTGTGTGGTTCTGTCAACTCAGAAGTAGGGCACAGCAAAGAGCTGTGTTTGGGGTATTTTGCAGGTTGACAGTGAGTAGAGGGTATGATTCTTATTCATGCTTAAGGAAGTGCTGGAATTGGATGTACCTAACATCCCCTGCTGCATTAGACAGAATTTATCTTAATTGCAAAAAGAAGAGTGAGACTTTGTTAAGAAACTGATTGCTTCTGGCGATACCCTTCTCCATCAGGCTGTAAATCCAGTTGTGGCACATGGACCAATCAGATGGATGCACACAATTATGGGCCAAGCAGAATTTTTGGTTCTACACAAATGTCTTTCTAGATGTAATCCTAACAGGTTACTATACTCCTTTGATGCCCTGTTCAGCAATATGAAAGGTAAATCGAATGGGAAGGTTCGGTTGGCAGCTCTTCATTTTGATACTTGACTATTGGTTCTTCTTCAAGGTTGTAAGTAAACTGGGGATTGGTTAGTTTAGTTGGCTAGACTGTTGGTTTGCAATGCAGAGTGATGCCCACAGCATGAATTCAATCCCCTAACTGGCTGAGGTCACCATGAAAGCCCCTCGTTCTCAACCTTGTCTAAGGTGTGGTGACCTTCAGGTTAAATTGATACCAGTCATCCTGTTGTCCACTAGGACTATAGCAACTTTCATTTGTCATTCTAAACTGAACGTGCTGCTTAGGAATAGCATCCAAGTCTCAAGTTTAGAAGGATGGGGAGATTGCATTGAAGCTTACAGGATACTGAGAGGCCTGGATAGAGTGGACATGGAAAAGATGTTTCTACTAATAGGAGAGAGAGACCAGGACCCAAGGGCACAGCCTCAGAAAGAAAGATGACCCTTTAAAACTGAGATAAGGAGCAATTGCTTCAGCCAAAGTGGTGAATCTGGAATTTATTGCTGCAGAAAGTTGTGCAAGCTAAAATTATTGAGTGTATTAGAGACAGAGATAGATTTTTAATTAATAAAGGGATCGAGTTGTGGAGAAAAGGCAGAAGAATGGGTTGAGAAATATCAGGTATGATTGAATGGTGGAGCAGATTTGATGGACCGAATGGCCTAATTCTCCTATAATGTATAATATAGTTTAAACTGATACTACCTATCCCATTACCATTCCTATTCTGGAATTTCCCTCAGTGAGCACTGTATCTTTTCTCTTTTGGTTTCCAAAGTTCTGCACCCCTCCAAAGATCAAGACTATAATCCTGCACTGGACCTCAACCTATGAGTCAGCTTCTGTACCTCTGATATGCTGCTCTGTTAAATTATATTTTAAGATAAATTTGATCAGCTTGCAGTGCTTTCTCCTCTGCTGTTGTTCCTTTCACTTCCAGTGGCTGCTTTGAGTTTTTGAACATCATCCACATTCTGGTTCCTGGCTTGAGTTTCATATCTTGGGCCAAAATGTATTTCTTTACAACTCCTGGACATTGTAGTAACCTCCAGTTCACCATTGTTTTTCAGCTGTATAACCTGTTCTACAAACTACCATGGAAATTCCGCTCTGTGTCCTCCGATTCCTTTACCCTTCTGATAGTTTCTGGATTCCCTACCACGTCTGTCCCTGACTTAGATAATAGTTTTCAGGTGCCTCATTTTGCCTTCACCTTGCTATGTCAACTTGATCCCACCACGAAGCTTCTGACTTGAGTGCTGGCCTCCCTCCTATCTCTCTTCCCCATTTACTCACAATTGCCAAATAACCAGGCCTCTGTAACCTAGATCCTTTCGCAGTTATATTTGGCTGTGACTCCGGACCTAAATGATCGTCTCTCCATCTTTCTTTTTACTTCTTTTAAATGCCTCTTGTGTTATTATTTCTCACCTAATGAGTACTCTGTGCTTTGAAATCCCAACCCTACTCTTCACTATTCCTCAATCTTTCAAGTCTCCTGCCACTGTCTCAGACTTGACTGCTTATTAAATAAGCCTACAAATTCCTTCTTTGCCTCTTCTGCATTCTTCGAAAAGCTCATGGTGGGCATTTATTGCTGTCTCCTTATAAGCAGCAACCCAAACTATCAACTTTTCACCAAGTGCTATAGAATAATCTTACCAAGTTCCTCATGGCCAACTCACCTCTTTCAGTACTTACATTTCAGAATAACTGGTCAGCTATAAATAAAGCCCTTGTTACCTTCATGCTTATTGATAATTGTATCAGTATCATGGTTTGAGGCAATTTTTGGTAAGATATTAAATACATTGTCTTGATTTTTATGATCCTGGCAAGGACCATTAACATTTAAAGAAAAATTTGAAAACTCAGTGATTAACTGAAAGAAGTTACGCCATAACATTTCGCATTTTAGGACGTAAATCAAGTACTCTAACTTATTACTATAGTTTATAACTACATTTACTCTGAATCCAGTTTTAATAGTTTTCTTCAGTTATTTGAGGTGTACATCCAGACACCTCTTTTAAATGAATCAAAGATTTCTGCCTTTACTACCCTTTCGGGTCGTGACTTCCATACCTCTACCATTCTCTTGGTGAAAAAGTTTTCCTTATCTACCCTCTAAACTTTCTTTCACTTTCTTGAAATCAGTGCTTCCTGGTCACTGACAGCTCTGTTAGGGTAAGTATATGCTTCCCACCCACTCAGTCCAGCCCACTCTCAATTTGGTTTTGTTCCTGTTGTTTCAAGCTAAGTAAATGTTCCAACTTCTTTTTCCTTCACCAATTCGAAATGAGCTGCAACTTACATAAGACCGAATCTGAAACTGTCTTCTGGGAAAAACACCCAGATAAATTAAAGAAAAGAACTTTTAAACTCCCTTAGTCCATTTCTTGGCAAAGAGACATGCTTTGGGATGTTTCAAAAAGACACAGAAGTGAATAGCTTTTTAACTTTAAAACAACACCATTGATTCTGTCATCAGTATGAATATTTTTTATCCTCTGATGGATTTCAGAAATCACTTTCGCAGAACTCATAAAGCTAGCAAGAACTCTCTTGTTTACCAACCACTTGTCTCAATTTTTATTTAAAATTATAATTTTTTAACTTGCAGACAAAAAGTGTTCTTTCTGAAACATCTTCATTGCTTCCTTTGCTTGACCTGTGCAACTGAGTAACTTCTCATCATCTGTGATTTCAATCTTATTTTTAATTTTTTTTGTTTTCCTATTGTTTAATCTATCCCTCCATGTAAACTACCCCCCAATCCATTTTCACCACTATTTCCCAATCCATTTTCACCACTACTTCCTTGTACTTGCCAACTCGCACATCCTCACTGCTGACATTGTACTTCCTAGTATCTCTCTACACGCACAACCCCTTTCCACTCAATTCTATCAGTCTTTGTGTTTCCCTAGGGAAATAAAACTAATTAATCTGCACTTTGAAAATCCCAGTTGTTTAATCTTTGTCCTTCCTGCAACTGCAGAAATTTTGTGTTGACTGATTTTCTCAACCACATACTTGTGTTTTTGCCCTAGTCCTCATTTGAGCCATTACTCTCACTCACCCTGGATGAATGCTGACAAGCATGACACCTGGGGTTTCTTCAATGCCACCAAAGCAACTATACGGACCCGATACTCTCAGCCTGAAACTGGTGCAGGGTAAGGATGGAACCCTTTTGAGAGATGGAGAAAACATCAGCCTAATGGAGAGAACACTTCAAAGAAATCATAAACCAGAGTATAATCATCAACAAGGGCGTGTTTGAGGAAATCCCCCAAATCTCAAAGATGATCTTGGACTCCCACCTAGTGTGGCAGAAGTTGAAGCCACCATAAGACACATGAAGAATGGAAAAACCACAGGAGTAGATGCAATTCCGATAGAGATTTTGAAAGTTGGAGGAACAGAGCCTACCCGTCATCTCCATCAACTGTTACTGAAAATTTGGAACAAAGAAGAAATCCCTGTTGATCTCAGAGAGCTGCCATCAACACCATCTTCCAGAAAGAGACAAAGTGGATTATGGGGACTACAGAGGAATCTCCCTATTCTCTGTTACCAGGAAGCTCAACGTCCGAGTACTTGCTAGGCACTTTCTCCCAGAATCTGAGGAAATCATCCCTGAAAGCCAGCGTGGTGTCCATGCAAATCATGGAAGAATGAACGTGATTTTCACTGCTCAGCAACTCTGAGAGAAATGCCAGGAACAGCACCAATCACTCTACATGCCCTTTACCGATCTGACCAAGGCTTTTGACTTTTTCAGTCAGAAAGTGTTATGGAAAACCCTGTCAAAGGCCTGCTATCCAGTGAAGTTCATCTGCATACTCCACCTCCTACGTGACAAGATGTCAGCGACAATGCTCACTGACAGAAATATGACAGAATCCTTTGAGGTCAAGACGGGGTCAAGCAGAGATGTGTCATCATCTCCACTCTTCTCCATCTTCATCACTACCATTCTTCATCTTGTCAAGAACAAGCTTCCCAGTGATGTGCACATTGTCTACAGGCTAGACAGAAAGCCTTCCAACCTCAACCAGTGAAAATCCATGAAGAAAATAACATCAACCTCACTTGTGGATGACAATATCATCTCTGCTGTCTTGGAAGAGATTCTTCAA